TCTTGGCTCTTGTTGTTCTGCTTCCTGCCTGCCTCTTCAGTCTTTCCTCCCAGTCGTCATCGTCGTCCATGGAGACTCCTGCTGATATTGCAATAAAATCAAACGTGCCAAAAGTGAGGGCGAGAGTAACAATCTCACATGAAGGTCACCAGACGAGGCAATTCTCCGATTAGCGCTGCTCGACACAATTGAACCCGAGCATCGGCCGCCGAAAGCTTCAAGCTACCGACTGCCTCGCCGGGCGGAGCTCACACCACGACGCCTCCATTTTCGAGAGACAGACAGAACAGACTGAGGTGATCAATTGAAATGCTGTAGCCGTTTGCGGCTCAATCTCAAACGCCCTCAGTGACGAAAGCCGTTGAGTGCGACAAAAGAGCAAGAGCAATTTCTTTTGATCCGCTTCGAGGCTGAATATTAGCTGTTTGCTCCTGTGGCAGGCGGGACAGCAGCCCCCGCGGAAAGCCACCACCAGAACGCCATGATGGCTGCCGCCAATTCGGGATCGACGCCCACGCCGCCACAAGCGAAACAAGCAACATCAACCCAGAACTCCGACCAGGAAACCAGCAATAACGAGAACAGTGCTCCGCCCACCGACTTGTCCTCCTCCGAGCATGATCACGATCACGAGAAGGAGACGGAGAAGGAGAAGGAGCATGAGCGCGAGGGGATTCCGGCGGTCGTCGACGTCGACAAGATCGACAAGATCGACCGCGCGAGCTCCATAGCCACAACCCTCGAGCCTCCGCCCTCGTACGCATACGGGAACCACCAGCACCATGTCTCCCTCTCCGGCGCCGCAGGGCACATCTCCCTCGACGACGTCCAGCCCGTCAATGTCCAGATCCGCGATCTCTCCGTCACCGTCGACACCTCCCCCTCCGCCCTCGAGCCCGAGACCTATCCGCAGCTGTTTGCCCAGAAGTTCGGCAAGAAGACCGCCGACGAGCTCCCCCCGACGACCAAGATCCTCCTCCGCGATGTCAGCGCCTCCCTGCAGCCCGGCACGCTGACAGCCATCATCGGCGGCAGCGGTTCCGGCAAGACGACCCTTCTCAACACCATGGCCGAGCGCATCACCAGCTCACGCCTCACACAGGCCGGTGCAGTCACCTTCAACGGCGCCGAGGGCGTCCACAGCGTCCGCTCCGCCTACGTGATGCAGCAGGACGTGCTCCTGCCCACACTGACGGCCCGTGAGACGCTGCAGTACTCGGCCGACCTGCGCCTGCCGCCCCCCTCCACCGCCGCCGAGCGCATGCGCGTCGTCGAGGAGGTCATCCTCGAGCTGTCCCTCAAGGACGCCGCCGACACGCGCATCGGCAACAGCCAGCACCGGGGCCTCTCAGGCGGCGAGAAGCGCCGCGTCAGTATCGGCGTGCAGATGTTGGCTAACCCCTCGGTGCTGTTCCTCGACGAGCCGACCACCGGCCTGGACGCGACGAGCGCATTCCAGCTCGTGCGCACGATGAAGAGCCTCGCGGAAAAAGGGCGCACCGTCATCACTACAATTCACCAGCCGCGCTCCGAGATCTGGGACCTGTTTGACAATCTGATTATCTTGAGCAGGGGCAGTCCCGTCTACTCGGGTCCCATGAAGGACTGCCTGCCGTATTTCGAGGGCTTGGGATTTGAGCTTCCGCCATTCGTCAATCCCGCCGAGTTCCTGATT